TTTTTTTTTATTGCTTAGATGGGTAGACCAGCTCACAGCCCACCTAGTTTTAAGTGGTTACTGGAGCCCATAGACATCTACAACGTAGACGCGCCACCCACCTTGAGATACAAGTTCTAAAGTCTCAGTATAGTTACAACGGCTGACCCACCCTTCAAACCGAAACGCATTACTGCTTCACGGCAGAAATAGGCAGGGCGGTGGTACCTATCCGCGCGGACTCACAAGTGGTCCTACCACCAGTAATTACGCAAATTATAATTTTGCGGGTTTGATTTTTATTACACGATGTTATTCCTTCACCGTGGAAGTCAATCGTGAACATTTGTTGAGTACGTATTTCATTAGAAAAATTGGTACCCGCATGCGGGATTCGAACACCGTTGCATCGCTTCAACACGAATGCACCGGACGTCTTATCCTTTAGGCCACGATGACTACATGTTTCTTCATGTTTAGGATTGCCCTAAGCAGAAGGCATTGTGCGATCTTCGAATAGCTACTCAATTTAGGTTCATTGAAAATGAAGGTGCAATTAATGGATAGCACTAGTCCTTGAGCCGATACCTAAGTGTATTTTAGAAATAAAGTAGTTGATTCACGTGACAATGTGACCTGAACCTTCATACTCACCTCTAATGTCTTTAAAACATGTCGTGGAATTTCCAATTGTAATAAATCCTTGATATTTATATAATATATAAGAGTTCTCCGTGGTAAAAATGGTATTATGTTGGCAATGATGTATTTTGACATTATAATGAAAATAGAACAAAATAAAATATAATATTTTTCTCTGCTATTACCTACCTATTTGAAAATCAACATTTTAGTATAGTTAGATGTAAATCATAGGACCAAAAGAATTAAAAAAAAAATCCAAAAGAAGCAACAAAAGCTCCTATGGTAGTGCAATTGACATACTAGTGTAGATAAAACCCAAGGAAGGTTGTCTTCAGGCATGCGGTTGGTCGTAGAACTCATGCTAAAACCTATGCAGCATTATAAATGGATATGCTACACCGACCTTACATAATGTAGAATAAGCGCAAGAAGAAGAAGCTGTTGATGATGTACAGCAAATTTCACAATATTATGGAAACCGCTTGGAATGGTTTATCTATATTATTTATACTCTTCGGAATATTGCTTTCAGAAGAAAGTATATCAAATTTTATAATTTCCGATTTATTTATGGAATTTTCATTATAATCGTGCATAATTATTTATTTTAGAGTTCAAATTCAAATGTTTTTTCATTATTTTTATATTTATTTTTGTTGATAGGTGAGACTTAGACGTTGAATTACTTATTGCGCATCTGGTGTTGGTTGGTTTGGATTTCTGGCCCATAGGGGAATAGCCGTAGCAGTTATAGTAAATATATTTCATGCACAGCTGTGAGCGAGACCGCGATGGAATGCTTCATCTGTAAATAGATTAGTTATAGTTCAGACCGCTACCTCCAGATACAGGAACACATGGAGAAAAATCTTACCAGAGAAAGTGATAGAGAAGAGGGGTCACGACCCTCAGCATTGAAGAACATGACACCAGGAGGAGGAGTTATAGTTAGCCGTAGCGAACAACTACTAGTTAATAGATTTTTTTTTATTGCAGACAGATTAATAGGCAGACTAGCATACGGCCCACCTGATGATGAGTGGTTACCGTCGCCCATGGACTTCAGCAATGCCAGGGGCAGAGCCGAGCCGCTGCCTACTACTTAATACTCTCCACAAGCCTCGGTTGAAGAAGGACATGTCATAGTGCTCGGGAAACACCGTGTAGGGGAGCTCATTCCATAGCCGGATGGTACGTGGCAAAAAATACCTCTGGAAACGCACTGTGGATGACCGCAGTGGCTCCAGAAAATATGGATGAACTCTGCTTCGATGGCGGGACGTGCGATGATAAAAAGGAGATGAGGGGATCATCTCAAACAATTCCTTAGAGCACTCCATTAATTAGATTAGTTAATCTAAAATTAGATTAATGATTTTCTTCAGGATCGCACAACGTATTCAATATCAGATCAGAACAGATCACGATTAAGCAGCACCAGTATAATTGAAGTCGTCGTGGCCTAAAAGATAAGACGTCCGGTGCATTCGTGTTGAAGCGATGCACCGGTGTTCGAATCCCGCAGGCGAGTACCAATTTTTCTAATGAAATACGTATTCAACAAATGTTCACGATTGACTACCACGGTGAAGGAATAACATCGTGNAATATCAGATTCAGATCAGAACAGATCACGATTAAGCAGCACCAGTATAATTGAAGTCGTCGTGGCCTAAAAGATAAGACGTCCGGTGCATTCGTGTTGAAGCGATGCACCGGTGTTCGAATCCCGCAGGCGAGTACCAATTTTTCTAATGAAATACGTATTCAACAAATGTTCACGATTGACTACCACGGTGAAGGAATAACATCGTGTAATAAAAGTGAAACCCGCAAAATTATAATTTGCTTAATTACTGGTGGTAGGACCTGTTGTGAGTCCGCGCGGGTAGGTACCACCACCCTGCCTATTTCTGCCGTGAAGCAGTAATGCGTTTCGGTTTGAATGGTGTGGCAGCCGTTGTAACTATACTGAGACCTTACAACTTATATCTCAAGGTGGGTGGCGCATTTACGTTGTAGATGTCTATGGGCTCCAGTAACCACTTAACACCAGGTGGGCTGTGAGCTCGTCCACCCATCTAAGCAATAAAAAAAGATATATATATCTTATTCATAAAAACTCCAATACGACAAGTTGTATCGTAACGACAAATCGTAATTTATAAAAACACAAAGAAACCGGCTACAAAATTAGTGTCGCCTGTTCTATCTAGAGTATCAACGTTATTAATAAGTGAAATGAGCCAAGTTATATATTTAGAATTCATATGAGATAAAGCCTTTCACGGATAGTGACATTTATGGGATAGTTTTGAAGATTATTAGAACTGTAGGACTGTGTATATAGAAGTGTGTTGCGTCATTTAATCGTACCATTGAGAACTTATTCTTTGTCGAACTTTGAAAAACGCGGTAAAATAAGTGCTTTTGGGTTAAAACCCGACTCGTGGAAAATTTAAAGTTAGACTTAGAATTATTATTTGGATCACTTTGTTGGTTAGTTTACGACTTTTGTCCTGTTCAGATCATGCTTCCTGCAAATGGACTTTTGCAGGAAACGTCAAAGAGAAGATCTTAGTCATTGGATGGTCCGAATGTTAATAATATATTTTCCGGAAATTTTTGCAAACTTATCTTGAAAATGTTGTTAAGGCAATTCAGGCGTCTGTCAAATATCTTGGCTTCTGAATGACAGCTACCGCTACAGGTTTAATATATCATAAATAAAATTTTAATACGCTTTTATTCGCTTCAGACGTATGTATGTTTGTAACGGAATCTTTGAACTTGATTTTGACCCCGGATTAACTCAAAATTTGGTATACTTATTAAGAACCGATGACAATTAAAAAAAAAATTAAAGAAAAAAAAAATTCGATGAATTGAAATTCAACTAAAAAAAGAAAAATAAATAATAGTTTAAAAAACTAACAAAATACGCTTTTATAGAAAATCCAACTAAAAAATATAAAATAAATTTTAATAAATTTGAATTAAAAATAGTGTAAGAAAAAATGATTTTATTGTAAAAAAAGCGCCCGTGCATGGTATCAGTAGTTACAAATATTTTATGAACAGATATGAGTAGAAGGGTTATTTTGATAATATCCTGAAAAGCACCTACACTGTTTTTAATTCAAATTCATTAAAATTTATTTTATATTTTTTAGTTGGATTTTCTATAAAAGCGTATTCTGTTAGTTTTTTTTAAACTATTATTTATTACCACTATCAACGTATTCAATGCTATCTAGTTTATTAACGTGGATGAAAGTGTTTACACGATATTAGTATCCATGTGTTTGTGTAGCTGACTGTACATATTTGTTAAAGCTTCATACTTTTCGGGTTTTCCTTCTTTACATTTCATTAAAGAAATATTTTTGAATGTTCCTTTTCGAATTCCTGAAACTGTGGAGAACAAAGTGCTGTGTAAAATGTTTTTATGAAAAGATTAAAGTAAATAAAAATATATACCTAGAAACATATTACCTGTGTTTTTTAATATAAATATTAATTTATAACTTGGTGGTATATAAAACTTGGTTAGCTTGTATTTACTTATGCCTAAGCCTCCAAAAACAGAGATAAGATTTAAGCTTGTTTGTAGTATCTCATTAAATTATGATAATTTCTTTGAGATGTGAAGTAAAACAAATGAAGAAAAGTCTTCCTACGCTTAATTTTTTTTATTGCTTCGATGGTTAGACGAGCTCACGGTCCACCTGCCCATAGACATCTACAACGTAAATGCACCACCTTGAGACATGAGTTCTAAGCCTCAATTTTACAGTACAACGGCTGCCCTATCCTTCAAACCGAAACGCATTACTGCTTCACGGCAGAAATAGGCAGGTGGTACCTACCCGTGCGGACTCACAAGACGTCCTACCAGTAATTACACAAATTATAATGTTGCGGGTTTGATTTTTAATACACGATGTTATTTCTTCATCGTAGAAGTCAATCGTTAACATTTGTGAAGTACGTATTTCATTAGAAAAATTGGTACCTGCCGGCGGGATTCGAACACCGATGCATCGCTAGATACGAATGCACCGGGTGCCTTATCCTTTAGGCTATGACGGCTTTACCCAGACAAATAAACGGTTCTTACTGCTGCGTTTTGAGAGATTATACATAAGTAAACTATTGAAACATAAATATTGTTAAAAAATAGGGAAAACGTTTAACGCGAAAATGTGATCAAAACGAAACAACGTAATTACGTAGATTAAAAATAACTTCGTAAATCATAAGTCAAACGAGCATCTTGTCTCGTCTTTCCAAACAAAGCAGATAAGATAACGTCTGCACAAGCGCTTGCTTTTCTCAGTAACGTCCCGACAATGGACAACTTCGGGTATCGCGAGATGGGGTGGCCTTCACCCTTGCAAACTCCAACAAGATCACGATTAAGCAGCAGCATTCGATCCAGAGGGCGGGAGCCTGAAGAATTTCCACTCAATCCTCAATATAAGCACGTGAAAAACATCGATTTGCTGGAGTCAGCTCGTGAGCCGGGAAAAGCTAAGGAGTACCTTTTCGTCGGACCTTCACCTCCAGCTGACGATGCACCGAACATGTACCACAGTTTCGACGTCCTCGCTCCCGACCCCGATGCTAGATTGACCGATGACGCGGCAAGAAGAGGATTGTACGAAAGAGCCCTCACTCTGGGGGCGGGAAGATTTTTCGATGACTTAGAATGCGGCTTGATAACTGCCGAAAACATCGAGGAACACATTAGTTCTGCTCCTGAAGCGGTCGTAAATTTAACTTTACTATGGGCCTCGTATTTGGCGCGGGATGAGTTATTACCCGGAGTTTTGGACGCTGGGGCGGATATTCACTACTCGGATTCGTCAGGTTTGACTGCCTTACATTTGTCAGCCTTTAGCGGTGCCGGCAGAGCGGCTGTGTTCCTGATATCACGGGGTGCTGACGTAGATTTCGTTCCTAAATATTTCACGCCCCTTCATTGTGCCGCATTCGGGAATTCGTTAGAAGTTGCAGAAATACTGATAGGAAATGGCGCTTCGTTACACGGCGTGGTACAGCGAGCAGGATGCGAAGATAACCTAGTACATTGCGCGGTGAGAGCAGATGCCGTTGAATGTATGGAAATGTTCATAGAACGAGGAGTGGACCCCGCATATGCTACTTCTGGAGGATTGAACGCGTTGCATCTCGCTGCTGAGCTGGGTTCGCGACGTTGCTTGTCGTATTTATTAAGAGAAACAAAGATAAGCGTGAATGGCATGAGTAAACAAAGAGATAAAGAATGTACTGCGTTGCACTTGGCAGCTTCCAGGGGCTATGTCGAGTGCGTAGAACTTTTATTATCTGAAGGTGCGAAAGCGAACACGAAAAATTATAGAGGATTCACAGCCTTACATCTAGCTGCTAGATTATCAAGTATTGACTGCGTAGAAGTGTTGTTGCGAGATGGCAACGCGGATCCGAATGCTGAAGATTACGACAAAAGAAGTCCTTTACACGCTGCGATAACTCGTTCTGAACGTGCTTGTGATATAATCGAACTGCTGGTGAATTGGGGAGCTCAGGTCAACAAGAAAGATGAGTACGGGTATTCTGCAATTCATTTAGCTGCAATGGATGGTTTGACGCAATGCGTCGAAACATTAATCTTTCTGGGCGCCGACGTAACTTCGAAATCTAAAAAAGGTCACACAGCGTTAAGTGTTATCGCCAGGAAAACTCCTAAGTCTCTTGCTATTTTAAAACACAACCTAGACTGTGGAATATCATTGAGTCGATCAATAGAGGGCAATGAAGAGGTACAGATCGAATTTGATTTTGGTAAATTACTGAAATTTTCATATCCACGCGAGATCACATATTTAAACAGTTTGGTTGATGAAGGCCAAAAAGATATTTTGCAGCATCCACTGTGCTCTGCCTTTTTGTTTATGAAGTGGCGAAAAATAAGGAAGTTTTATTTGGCTAGACTAATTTTTTGTTTTTTATTTGTATCGTTTCTATCAATTTACGTGCTGACAGCGGTAGTCAAAGCGTGTCAAGGTAAGCATTCGAAGAAATATGGTGTCCCAAATGAATTATGTCAGCCGCAATCAATTTTGGGTGTCATTTTAAACGATAATCCGATCGAATTTGAGAGATGGGTCTTGATGGCAATCACAGTCTTCGAAATCGTTCGAAAATTAACCGGTATAACCGGATACTCGAGTTTCTACCAATATTTTACGACCTTCGAAAACTTGATGGAGTGGTTCGTGCTGCTCTCAGTATTTTCATTGTACAACATTCGCAATGATTACAGCTGGCAGAATCATGTTGGTGGCTATGCTGTTCTTGGGGCTTGGACAAACTTGATGTTGATGATGGGCCAGCTTCCAATGTTCGGCGATTACGTGGCCATGTATCAAAAAGTTTTAATGGAGTTTCTGAAACTTTTATTGGCTTACATTTGTCTACTTCTCGGCTTTACCATTTGCTTCTGTGTCGTCTTTCCTAATGAAGAAATGTTTTCAAATCCTTTGATGGGTTTCATCAGTACTCTTTCGATGATGGTTGGAGAATTAAATTTAAATATCCTAATAAACGATCCGATGCAAGATGATCCTCCTATATTTTTCGAATTGTCAGCACAAATAATTTTCATTTTCTTCCTTATGTTCGTGACTATAATCCTAATGAATCTATTAGTCGGTATTGCGGTTCACGACATCCAAGGATTAAGGAAGACAGCAGGCTTATCAAAATTGGTGCGACAGACGAAACTAATTCTTTTTGTTGAAATGGGCATGTTTAGTGCTTGGCTGCCGAAATGCCTACACAAATATGTCTACAGAACAGCTTTAGTATCTCCTGAGGCCGGCAAAGTCATATTAAGCGTGAAACCGTTGAATCCAAGAGAAAAACGATTACCAACAGACATTATGATGGCAGCTTATGAATTAGCCCAGCTGAACAAAGTTAAGTCCGGCCGATCAGTTAAAGAAGTGCTATACAAGAACAAGATCTCCTCAAAGTTGAAGAACGAAGGACATAATAATGAGCAGAACGTCGGCTTTGAGATTCGNGCCGGCAAAGTCATATTAAGCGTGAAACCGTTGAATCCAAGAGAAAAACGATTACCAACAGACATTATGATGGCAGCTTATGAATTAGCCCAGCTGAACAAAGTTAAGTCCGGCCGATCAGTTAAAGAAGTGCTATACAAGAACAAGATCTCCTCAAAGTTGAAGAACGAAGGACATAATAATGAGCAGAACGTCGGCTTTGAGATTCGAGGAATGCAAGAGAAGATTGACCAAGCGACGTTTAACTTGAAGAAAATAGACCAGGAGATGCGACATTTGAATACTCTTTTAATGGAACAGCAAAATTTCTTTCAAAGCCTCTTCAAGAGCACAGAATTGGTTCCGTACAAATCCCAGCATGCTTCTACCCCAGTTTATTCAGATTCCCCTATCATCTTTGGCAACAATACGTAGTTGCTCTGCAATTGTTTAGTTTATAGTTATTCTTTTAATCAGGGTATTATGTGGTTTGGAGGCTGTGATTAGACCAGGGATGTTGCTTCCCAAGTGATTCACTTGCATTGTAAGATTTAAATGTCCATGTACACCGCGCATGTGCAATGATAATGTAACTCTTATTGTTATTACTGCGTTATAGTTAGTAGGGATTTTAAGTTGCTTTGAACGTATTAATGCCTTGTGCACCTATGATTTGACATATTAAAAATTTCGGATTCCTCATTTCACTTTTAATTTTGAATTTATGTTTCTATAATGCTCGTTTAGTTTTTAAGTAATCTTCAAGTTAATCGATGAAATGAGTCAATTGTCTATTAATTCTATTAGTTATATTTATTACCATTCTCGAGATGTCATAAGTACATGTGTACTGAAAGGCTAAGGTTAAGAATTTTGCTGTAGAAAGACATAAATGGATTAGCCTCATCTCCTTATTTTGCTGAAAACGTTATATAATTACAATTACGTAAGGCGCGGTAAAATGAAGGTCTTTCGCTTTGTTTGTCTTGATAAGAATTCGTCGTCGTATTTTACAGATCACGTGTTTGCACGTTTTGGCGAGTTCATGTTCAAGGAACTGTGAAAAATTAAATAAATAGTATTATGAATTTTTGTGTTTTATTAACAAACTTTAAATGTTTTGTGGGACGTTCACCTCTGTTAGCCAAGTTTATGTGGTGGCAGGGCGTATTTTAAGCTAGCACGGGTTGATCCTTGTCTTGATTTCATGGTTTCTAGACTCGCCCTCACGTCTTAAGGTTATTTAAAGGCATACACCTGGTGTTGTCTATAGACTACCATAGCCACATAACAATAGACAAGCCGTTAGCTTGTTCCTATTTTTGAATGATGAGAGAATAATTTTCAGCGTGCGCTGAGGGCCCTAATGATGCGATTGTCTGGATTAAAATCATTAAGTAGGTATCAATTTAAAATGTATCTTTGGGAGTAACGACAAAGGGTAGATCTTCCAACGAGCGGGTGAAATTGCCCGGTCCAAACGCTATTGTTGGGTGAGAATCAGGCAATTGACAAATATTCTTTGTTGTATGATAGATATCCGCTATTTATTTAATAGCTGTTTCATTCGTATAGCAGGCTAGTCGAATTTGCGACTTAATGTCGATTTAATGTCGTTATAGATATTTAAATGATGATGAATAGATGGCTTATAGACATGAAGAAATGTTTACAACTACCGCGATAACATGTAAGGAACAACAGTCTCGTTAAAATATGGTTATTTTGTGTTTAAACAATGCTACGGAGTGGAACTTAGGGAAAAAAAAGTGAAAGCTATTCAGTAGAATCTTTATTGGTGGTAATCAAAATCGAAATTTTAGTGGTCATAGCAATCAGCTTAAGATTAAACATTGAATTATATCGAGAGAAACCAATAAAATATGAGTATATTTTTGTTTTTTATTTTGATAATCAAAATTTTAGTGTAGCTCCTCGCGTTGTTTCCTCACTGCTGAGGATCGTGACCATTAATTATGTTTAGACAGGATTTTATTCGGTTTCCGATAATCGGCCGCGTGAGGGACTTCTTGGAATGGGGTTTCTACTGTGATGCGGATTTGATCTAACCAACTTGTCGGGCCGTGCCTGTGCTGTATCTTTTCCTTGATCTTCCCTGTCACGAATAGTCTCTCTAAGCTATCAGGTGGGCTGTGAGCTCGTCCACTCACCTAAGCAATAAGTAAAAAAAGATAAACTGGTGCTAGGGCCTTTTCATTGGACTACCCGTCCGGACTCATAAGAGGTCCTACCACCAGTGAGTTATAACGGCTGCCCCACCCTTCAGACCGAAACGCATTACTGCTTCACGGCAGAAATAGGCAGGTTAGTGGTACCTACCCGTGCGGACTCACAAGAGGTCCTACCACCAGTAATTACGCAAATTATAATTTTGCAGGTTTGATTTTTATTACACGATGTTATTCCTTCACCATAAAAGTCAATCGTGAACATGTGTTGAGTACGTATCTCATTAGAAAAATTGATACCCGCCTGAGATTCGAACACCGGTGCATCGCTCAACACGAATGCACCGGACGTCTTATCCTTTAGGCCACGACGACTTCACAGTGCGTATTCAGAAATCTTTTTTGCCACGTACCATCCGGCTTTAGAATAAGCTCCGCTCCACGATGCTTTCCGAGCGCTTAGACATGTCCTTCTTAAAACGAGGCTCGTGGAGAGTATTTAGCTCCAGGCAGCGGCTTAGCTCTGTGCCGGGCATTGCTGAAATCCATGAGCGTTAATAGCGGCAATAAAAAAAGGCCCAGTCGTCAACGAACCATATCCTCCACCTCCTCCATCCTCCTCCATCTACCATCCTCCTTCATCGCTCCACGCGTAAATCCATTCAGCGTCACGATGTAATAGTCCGCACGTGCCCATAGATTACGAAGCAAATTAAAACAGGGTGTAACCGTAATATTGTCAATTCCTATTCGTTAAAGATCGAAATCCTCGAGGTTTATCGGATAAAACATCCCGTTTATAAAGCGATGTGATACGATGTGAACTGGGGTAACTTTTATAATTTTTCCTTTTTTTATGTTTGAGAGGTTACTGGGGGCCCGGTGACCTTTCCTGTTTTACCAGGACAGGTGGGCGAGCAAGGACTCAGCCAGGATGTGTGAGATTTGCTGACAGCTAAGTCGTCGTTACCTAAAGGTTAAGACGGCCGGTGCATTCGTATCACGCGACTCAATAGTGTTCGAATCCCGTAGACAGATACTAATTTTTGTAATGAAATACGTACTTAACAAATATTCACGCCTTTTTTATTTTTTTTATTGAATTTGCAGGCAAAAGAGCGTTCGTTCCACCTGATGGTAAGCGGTTACCGTCGCTCGTGGACGTCAGCAATTCCAGGAGCAGAACCAAGCCGCTGCCTTCGATAAAACTGACTTCCACAGTGAAGGAATAACATCGTGTAATAAAAATCAAACACGCAAAACGATTTCCTGAGTGGCAAGATCGCAAGGAAAACAGCTATCACTCAATCCCAAAGAAATTATGTTAAAATATGAACAAAGTTCTACTAGTGTCATTTGGATTATAGCACACAAATATAATAATAACAGGGCGACGTACGCTCACTCAGTTCTTTGAGACAATGCTTCCTGAATATCTAAGTATGAACACCCCGTATATAACTAATACGCATAGGATTATATTGTAAATGTATTTGAATCATTATTATCTTATCGCAGCACGGATTAAGTACTGAGACGTAATAGTAATGAGGATATTGACATTCGATATTTTAGATATTAGGCGGCTTTACTGACCTAGTTTATGTCTGCATTGCTCACGTCTAAAGAGACAATAAAATAACAAAAAAATAAGATTAAATTTGGCCTACGGATGTTAATAATAATTCATTGTTAGATACTAATCTGGCTAGCTTCGGCTTAGTTTTATTGCCGTGGATATGCAGATAATCAGTTCCGCTTGTCTGGTATCAAGTAGATATTAGAGCTCGTAGATAACTCAACGAGCTCAGAATTATTGTTCTATGGATTTGGTATCGATGAGGAAGCTATATCTGGGACTGGAGGACTATAGGATTTTGCCATAGTTTGATTTTGACCCAAATCGGATTAAATTGCTGGTTAGTTAAAAGTTATTTGCGGTCACCGTAGTGCTTTTTTTAGGGTAAAGGGCTTGATTATGTCCAAGAGGTCTTTTCAACATAACTAGGATGAGTGTGTAACTAATAACAGCATTATATTAAAATACTAACTCGCTAAAACGAACATAACGCACGAACATCGACCAGACCCGGCACCGGCCGCATCCGCTTCCCGTCCAAACCCGACACGCCCCGGTCCTCAGAGCCAATCCTTATTCCGAAGTTACGGATCCAATTTGCCGACTTCCCTTACCTACATTATTCTATCGACTAGAGGCTCTTCACCTTGNCTGGTCGGGCCGTGCCTGTGCTATATCTTTCCCTTGATCTTCCCTGTCACGAATAGTCTCTCTAAGCTATCAGGTGGGCTGTGAGCTCGTCCACTCACCTAAGCAATACATAAAAAAGATAAACTAGTGGTAGGGCCTTTTCACTGGACTACCCGTCCGTACTCATAAGAGGTCCTACCACCAGTGAGTTACAACGGCTGCCCCACCCTTCAGGTCTGAACGGTCGAAACGCATTACTGCTTCACGGCAGAAATAGGCAGGGTAGTGGTACCTACCCGTGCGGACTCACAAGAGATCCTACCACCAGTAATTACGCAAATTATAATTTTGCAGGTTTGATTTTTATTACACGATGTTATTCCTTCACCATCAAAGTCAATCGTGAACATGTGTTGAGTACGTATCTCATTAGAAAAATTGGTACCCGCCTGAGATTCGAACACCGGTGCATCGCTCAACACGAATGCACCGGACGTCTTATCCTTTAGGTCACGACGACTTCACAGTGCGTATTCAGAGATCTTTTTTGCCACGTACCATCCGGCTTTAGAATAAGCTCCGCTCCACGGTGCTTTCCAAGCGCTTAGACATGTCCTTCTTAAAACGAGGCTCGTGGAGAGTATTAAGCGGCAGGCAGCGGCTTAGCCCTGTGCAGGGCATTGCTGAAATCCATGAGCGTCAGTAATCACTCACCATCAAGTGGGCCGTACGCTCGCCTGCTTACACGGGCAATAAAAAAATGGCCCAGTCGTCAACGAACAGGGCCAGCTCCATATCCTTCACCTCCTCCATCCTCCTCCATCGCTCCACGCGCGAATACATTAAGCGTCACGATGTAATAGTCCGCACGTGCCCATAGATTACGAAGCAAATTAAAACAGGGTGTAACCGTAATATTGTCAATTCCTATTCGTTAAAGTTCGAAATCTTCGAGGTCTATCGGATAAAACATCCCGTTTATAAAGCGATGTGATACGATGTGAACTGGGGTAACTTTTATAATTTTTCCTTTTTTT